AATTCTCCGCACCTGCGGAGACTGTCAAGACCAGCTCTTCTCACACCTACGCCTCAATCTTTGCATCTGCGGGCATCGCAGATGCGGAATTTTCCTCGCACCTGCGACCCCTGAAACTCCTCCACTTTTCCGCTTCTGTGCTTGCCTCTCCGTACGAGCGCTCCCGTACCTGCGGTCTTTTCACCGCAGGTGCGAAAATACCAGAAGCCTGAAGACTTAATAGCAACACAAATCAAACCTTTAATCCGTTAAGCACCTGAAACTCCCCCGAGGCCCCCGAGACCTCAACCAATCCTAAAACACCATACGAACTTAGTCGAGCCCTCAAATCACATCAACTAACGTTAAAACTATGCATCGCACTATGAATCAAACTTATAAATTTTTAAATCTTTCAACTTCTAAAACCCGTGCCGAAACCTATCAAATCAACCCGAAATGACGTCAAATTTTGCAGGAAAGTCCCAAATAACATAGCGGAGCTATTCCAACTAAGGGTGTTTAACAAGCGGGCTGGACACAAAAAAAAAATCAGCCCGTCCGTTTAACATTGCGGGCTGTTAACGGGCTGAGTTAGCGGGCTGTACTTTTTCGGTTTTTTTTTTGTCCGTCCGGGTTCGGGATTAGCGGGCTGTTAGTGGGCTGTTAGCGGGTCGTGGATTTTTTTTTTTAAAAGTAAATTTTATTTTTCTTATTCAATGTTATTGATACTTAAGTGTTTGAAAACTTTTAAGGCTTAGAATTAAACTTTGAAGTTTAAAGTTTTAAATTTGAATTTTGAATTTTATAATTTTAAAATTGAAATTTGAAAGTAAGTGGCTACAAAAAATTATTTAATAAGACCAATTGGCAAATATGTAAGGATCAAGTTCCGAATACTTTTATTTGATATTTTTATTGAATAATATATATTACTTCAAATTAAGTTGCAAGTTCTTTTTTGATTTTGTTATTTTTGAACTTGCAAATTAAAAGTTTACCACAATTATAAAATAAAAATAAAAATAGTACATCACATGCTTTGCATCATTTTTGTAAGTTCATCCATGTCAACATGAGGTTCTTGGTTTCTGGCATTGGTTGAATCAACACCATAAACCATTATATCTCCAATTTCTTGGTCCTCCGCTTCATCTACCTCGTCACGTCCTTGATTTTGTCGTTATGATCTTATCCAATCTCTGAAGCACACTAGAATTTCTAAAGCGTTGCTACCCAATGAATGACGGGTATCTCCTAGTTGGTGCCTTACTTGGCTAAATGCGCTCTCTGATGCGACTGTTGACATCGGCACATTTAGCACGTCTCGAGCCATGGCCGAAAGACTATAAAATTTATTTGAGTGTCTCCTCCACCAACCCAGTGGTAGAAATTCCTTCGTGCGGGGCTCTGCTAACTTTTGCAAGTAGAATTGAAGTTCATCAATACTCCTGCTACTGGTTTGTTGATGCTCCCCTAGTGTAGACCAAATCAAATAATCTTCAAGACCATCATTATCATCCATAGCACTGGTCCCAGATGTTGAAACTGAACTTGAAGGAATATTTGCATCTACAGCAGAAAAAGGTCCATTAAATTTTTTTTTTCTTTAAAAAAAATCGTTAAAAAATGGGCTGAACCGGGCTATAGCCCGTTAACAACCCGTTAACGGGTTAACGGGCTGAACCGGGCTGTAGCCCGTTAACTACCCGTTAACGGGTTAACGGGCTTAGCGGGGTTCGGTGCACCGGTATAAAAAAACTATTCGTTTGAAACCTGCTCCCCGCCCAACCCGTCCCAGACCGCCCCCCACGCTACAGTACCAGGCTGAATCGGGCTGTAAACGGGTCAGCCCAGCCCGATTAACAGGTATAATTCCAACTCTCGGAATCATATTCCGACCTCGATATCAAAAAAGTCCACTTACGGTCCAAATCTCCAAAAATTCGACTTTCGCTATTTCAAGCCTAAATCAGCTACAAACCTCGGATTTATAGTTCGGACACACTGCTAAGTCCAAAATCACTCAACGGAGCTAATGGAACCGATGAAACTCCATTCCGGAGTCGTCTTCACATAGTTCCGACTACAGTCAAAATTCTAAGACTTAAGCTTCCGTTTTAGGGACTAAGTGTCCCAAATCACTCTGAAACATCTGGTAACCGAATTCAACCACGCACGCAAGTTAATACACATAATATGAAGCTGCTCAGGGCCTTATACCGCCGGACGGGACAAGTGTATGCATTCCTCTTCCTCATTTATAAAGAGGACAACATTATCATTGTTTTACACCATGGCGGTTTTGTTGTCGTCATTCTTCTGGCCACTGCTTTCACCTTTGCCCTTATTTGGATTTGGGCAATCTCTTTTGAAGTGACCTGGTTGATCACAATTATAGAAATTTCTGGCTCTTGATTTGGATTGGTTCTCACACGAGCTCCGGATCTACCATAGTTGCTCGAAATCCTTTGGTAACTTCTGCCTCTACCTTATGTTATGAGAGCCTGTTCTTGATTTTTATTCTTCTTTCTCATCTTATCATTGAGTAGAAGAGCCGATGTGACGTCTTTCAACTCAATGGTAGTCTTACCGTGCAAGATGGTTGTTGCCAAATTATCATACGAAGATGGCAACGAGTTCAATAGCAAGATGACTTTATCTTCTTCCTCGATTTTCACTCTGAGGTTGGCGAGCTGTGTGATTAGTCCGTTAAACACATTTAAATGTGAAAAATAATTCGTACCTTCACCCATGTGTAGGGCGTATAGTTTCTTCTTCAGGTACAATTTATTTGTCAGTGTTTTGGACATGTATAGGCTTTTCAACCTTGTCCAAATGCAACATGCGATGTCTTCATCAATGATGTCATTTACCACATCATCTGATAAGTGCAACCTGATTGCACTAGCAGCCCCTTCATCCAAGTCAGCCCAATCCTCAGCTTTTATGGTATCAGGCTTTTTGGCATCAACATCTAGTACCTTGTGTAATCCTTATTGGATGAGTAGGTCCATCATCCTTCTTTGCCATGTTGAGAAACCACTATCTCCGTTAATTTTGCTACCTCGTACTTTACTCCGGACATTTTTATTTTTCACCGAGTATAGTACTACCGATAATGAATAGTATTTCTGTGAACAAGCAGAACCTGTGCTATGATATTAGTTGTTGGGAATAAACCCCGTCATAAATAATATTCATGGTAATAAAAGCATAATAATAACATAGAACCGAGATACGGTAATTAACAAGAATAAAAGAGTGACAACGACATCAAGATTTTTTACGTGAAAAACCCTTTTGAATAAGGAAAAAAACCACGGCCCCTATAGGAGCAATTGATTCACTATATCAAGGAATTTTACACTTTGTAGGTCCAAGTAAAATACTCCAAAGACCACTACAACACTCAAAAGAAATAACCCTCTTTTGATATTCCCACCTCACTACAATATCGCTCACTCTCTATTTTTCTCACAGACTAATTTCTTATACTATGTCTGTGATGCCTCACTCTTTCTCTCTATATCTTTGTTGGTGTGTTTTACAATGAGAGCAAGACACCTATGTATAGTATTTAGAATTGCTTCATTGATGTAATGAATGATGTCATGAGCTTGTCAAGAGTCAAATATTCATTATGAAACCAAGGAAATATTTGCCATAAAATCTTCCTTATTATTCCTTTAGTTGGCTTGACATTTCAAAGCCAAAGAAAGATGTCTTCCTTACACATGTGATGGACCCGTCACCTTATGCATTATGTTCAGACAGTCTAGTCTCTTTTTAAGTGTCAAGTTTGCATAACACAATATAGAGTTCCTTATGTTTGTCGATACGTTAGACTCCCTTTCATGAGAAGCTTATACTTTATATGTTAAGGCAAGTGCGCCCACAAGTTTACGATTTCAATATATCATATGTGTGTTCAGACTCCGAATGTCTTGTGTTAAGGATCATAAGGGCAGTAAGTATGTAATGGCTATCTTGTTTCCGTTTCCTTGGCATGACTCCATATCACGTGTTTCCTCCTAAACGAATTGCTAAACAATGAGATGTCATGAAGCTTTCATTCATATACTTGATATCCCTTATCTCCCTTCAACAGAAATTGATCCTATAGTATTTGAGCCTTCGTACGGTTTCGTAAAATTCCTAGTGTTGTCAAAGTATTTAGATTTCTTTATATGAAGGATCTGTAACATACTTGTATCAAGGAATTGTTCACATAGATAACTACTTTAATAAGTTATGAACATGTTCCAGAAGCTATGAAACAAGAACCTTGTTAAGTTACCATTATGTATATTTATCTAGATGATATATGAAGGTCGTGCCTCGCACGAGGCCCAATAGGGTCTATTTATCTATATGATATATGAAGGCAGTGCCTTGTACGGGGCCCAATAGGGTCTATTTATATATATATATAATACTCCCCCGTTTCAATTTAGATGAGGAACTTTAACTCGACACGGAGTTTAAGAAAAATAAGAAGACTTTTGAAACTTATGGTCTTAAAATCTTAAGGGGTAAAAGTTTTGTGGGGCCATGATATTTGTGTGGTTATAAAAGCTTCTCATTAAGGATAAAATGGGTAAAATAAAAAGTTTAAAGTTGAATTATTTCTAAATTTAAAAATGTATAATTTTTTTTGGAACAGATTAAAAAGGAAAGTACCTCATCTAATTTGATATGGAAGGTCGTGTCTCGCATAGGGCATGCTCGGGTGTATATATATATATATATATATATACATACATATGAAAGAATGCTTTCACATGTTATGTACCCTACATGGCTTATTATATTCCAGAACTAAAAGAATCTATAAGTTAAGTAATGGTTCATATTAAGATAGGACAACAGTGCTCTCCCCGGTCATAGGACAACATTAAAGAATCTACACTGTTGTAGCTGTCCAAATTCAATGCCTTTGTAGAAAAGATTTTATTTTCAAGCTAAGATTAAACAATTATAATTTGAAAGAGGGGCTTGACAATTTTATAATATCATAGGTTATCATTCCGGACGAGAATTTAAAATTACAATACCAATCAAGGATAGAGAAAAAGGTATTATAATTTAGGTTATTTTAATTTGTGATCCACATTAATGTGTAGTCTGTAAATAAGCTTTATTTCTGTTGCTTTTGAAGGGGAAAATCTTATTGGAGGTTGAAAATGAACCAAAAAAGCAGAAGACAAAAGGAATGATCAAAGAAAAGGTAAGTTGATTTAGAGTTTAATAGATACATAAATGAACTGTCCTTTTTAAACTTTAAAATTGGACATGTTAAATAGAATGTAACTTTTCTTTTCCAAAAAACACATAGAGATCTGCTGATGTCTCATTGGATAACTTGGAAGACTCCGAGGAGGATAAACATGTCACTGATGGTGTTAAGAGAAGAAAGAAAAGGAACCTAATCCTATATAATTCTATTATTTCCACTCAAAGTTGAAGCTTATATGTGACTTTCATTAATTTAAAGTTTCTGTTTTATTGTATCTTTGTTATTTCTGGGGACCCCTTTTAAATAATGTACTTGTTTACCCGAAAAATCGAATAGAGTTGAATTTATACGCAGCTCTAAAGATATGTGGTATAACTTTGACACAAATGGCTAGCGGGAAATAGAAATATCCAATCTTGGCTATAAAGAATGAAAGATAACACAGTATAAAAGAGGAAAATAAATGAACAAAACAAGATGAAGTAATGGAGCTCAAAAGGTTCATCTTTCAATATGAGAAAATATGATTCTTGTTACAATGTGAACAAAAAGATGCCTTTGCAGAAATGTAGTCATCCTCTTTATAGTGGAGGATCCTACTTTAGATATAACTAAAAATACATAGTGGGTAACCCATGATAAATCAACCTTTCCCTAATTTCTGCCGAGATTCTCTCCCTTAGTGCGATTGCAACGGCTTTTGTCTGTGAGTTGGAGCTTGATCGGACTCGGTGATGGTCGGCATTATTTTTAGATCTCGATGCGGACTTTAGCTTGATGCTGACTCGGGGTCTGGTAATGACTCGGACTCGATGTCGGTTGGCCTTTGCCCTTTCAGCTCGATTCCATAACATCTCATCATAGTTCGATTCGGACCCGAGCTCGAGTATGACTTCGAACTCGGTGTTTGATTTATCCCCGAACATCGAAGCTCGTTCGTGCCTTCTTAGGATCCCATCTCGATATTATAAAGACTTTCTTCGATCCATTATGTTTCGATCTCAATCAGACGTACGAAGGCCAAAATCAGTTTCGACCGTATACAGATAGTCTCCTCGTTTCTCGAAAAGGATATTGCGAGAAACGATATGATTTCTCAATGGCTCGATTGGATATGCACTGACATTCACATCGAGCCCGTTCATGACTTACGTGATAGATGTCCCGTCAATTTAGTTTACCAAGGCATTTAATGCATGCGAGAAGGTGGTCGGCCACCGTTGATATTGAACCGCCATTGCTTTAATCTATAAATAGCCATCCCTTTTACCATTTATCACTTTTACATCTTCAATCTTCCAAATTTTCCAAGTTCTTTTTCGTATCCTCTGAGTTTATTCGCAAATCTGTGATTCCTCTCTGCAAAAATCCTTCTTCAAAACTACCAAATCTTTGTCACTTTCTTCTATTCTTGAGCTTTAAATTCAAAAATGGCGAAAACATCACAAACCATTCCTCAAAAAGATAAAGCTTCTTCTTCACAGTCTGCCGCCGACGAAACACCGGTAGAGCCATGACCCATGGAGTGCGTTCCTGGGGCATGTGTTCTTACCTCTGATTTTAAGGTTGATAAAGGCTCATCGGTTCCCGGCCGATGTGAGCCAGTATTGACTTCTGCCATCAATACCAAATAACCCTAGGCCAGGTCCATCCTTCTTTTTGGCGTATCGTTATTTTGATCCGATACTTTGTGAACAAACTTGAGGGGATGCCGTTCACCCTCGACCATCTCATCCGATTGTACCGTCCTCGCCTTTTTCGAGGAGGGTTAATAAAACTTCAGCGTCGGGCTACCAAGGCTTTGTTCTCGAGTATATACGAGGATAGGGATCAAGGCTGGATGGGAAGGTTTATTCGAGTAAGGACTTCGGACCTATTTCCGACTGAAAAGATGCCTTTTCCCGAGGAGTGGAACATGAAGCGTAAGTGTAATTCTGCTATTATTTCCTACTATTTTGCCCTTTCATTTCTTTTCTCACCGATATCCCCCTTTTTGTGATGCATCAGTTCCCTGGATGCCCGGCACAGTTCCCGATCTCAAGAACTGGGTACGAGATCTGGTTTCGACCTCCACATATGCCGAGCGCTCATGGCGTGATTTGTCAAAGGGCCAATAGGAGGCCAAAAATCATAGTAAGCCCCTTTCTCATATCTTTTGGTAGTTCGAACGAGATGCTTTCCATATACTTCAATAAATTTTCCCGTATGTAGGTGTGGGAAAAGATGCAGTTTTGAGGCCTTCGTCCGTCGAGGAAGAGGCTTCGGCGCCCGTTCCAAAGATGGTGTAGGATAATAAGAGGAAAAGGGCCTCCGTTCCCGAAGATCTAAAATCGAAGAAGAGGACTGCTCATAAGCCGAAGAAGAATACCATTTCTTTGACCGTAGAATCAGTTCTGCATCTAAGGGATGACAATGAAGAAGAAAAAGAAAATGACGGGCCCGCGCTGGCGGCCTGAATGAAGAAAAGCACCGATGCCCTAAAGGCGACTGAATTGACGGTGATTTATAAGGCTCCACCTCGAATCGAGGAGATATCAGAGGAAGGTTCAGGCAAAGTGCCCGAGTCACTAGAGATCGAGGATGCTTCCTACCGAAGTCAACAAACGGTGGGTACATCGGAAGGGGCCGATCCTGAAGCTCTCCGAACTGAGGAGAACGCCCTAAGAGAGTCGCCTGGGGCAAAAGTAATCGGAGAGTCGCCCACTCTCCTTGACTTTTCCGAAGGGGCTATGAGAGAAGCCCAAGCTTTGTGGGCCCTCGAGATGAGCCGGTCTCATGAAGGGGAGGACCCTTTCCGTGATCTGTTTACTGGGGTCGAGGACGCTGCTGGCCCTAGTGATGTGTCATACCTTCTCTGTGAAGTGCAGCTAGCTCTAAATCGGGTAAGCTCTTAACTCTCTTTGTTGGTATTATTTTTCATGTTTTACTATTCTTTCCTAACTTCTTTTCTTCCTTCTTCGCAGGACGTGGCGGTTCATCGAGAAGGATGTTTTCGATCTCGAGCTGAGCTGCATCGGTTCGAGATCGATCTTCAACGGCTCACGGAGGAGAGAAACTCCCTTAAACTCCTCTTAGGGCAAAGGGGAGAGGAAATCAAAGACCTCTGAGCTGAGTTGGCCAAGGCTCACCAAGATCAAACCGATCAGTCTGAGCAGGTAATGATACTTTTAAAAGCCTATGGGCCCGATACCGGAATGATGGCTAATATTTCGGTCTCACAGCTACAGCAGAAAATTTAGATGATTGGGAAACTTCGTGAGGAGGTTGATATGATAAAAGCGGAGTCCTTGAAGTGGAAAGAAGGTATGGACCGCTTTGCTGCAGAGAAAGAGGCTGCTCGAGCCCAATTGTCATCGACCGAAAACTAGCTTCAAAGTATAAAGGAGAAAAGCTTGGTTCATGTAAGAAGAATAGAGGAGCTCGAGGCTCGGTTGGCCTCTGAACTCGCTAAGGCCGAATCTGACGCCGAAAAAGCAAAGGCCGATGTGGATACATTCGTCGCTGTTTATCGGGCTGATGCTGAAGCTTCTCAGGTACAAGCAAGAGAGGCAACTGAGATTTCCAACACTCAAGCCCATTGGGTTGCTGAGCTTGCTAAGTGCCGATCTTGGATGGAGACCCTCGAGGAGATCCACGCTCGAGGTTTTGACCTTACTGAAGAGATAAAAAGGGCTTAGGAGCTCGAAGTCGATGTTGAAGCCTTGGCTTCTGATGATGATGATGATGATGATGATGGGAGCAAGAGCGCGTCCGAGAGCGGGGAGGAGCCCGATGGAGAATATACCGCCCCCGGAAATAACCAAGAAACTTAGTCCCTTAGTTTCTATTTCGGATGTTGCAAACAATCATGTAAACAATCCTGTAAATATATACAAATATATTTTCTTTTCCCATCTTGCCTCTGTTTTATTTTCTGTCTTGTGAAGGTTTTATTTTATTCATGCCTTATGAATGTTTTCATAAGGCTTTAGGCAATTTAATTGAATTCGGACTTTGTAGCCTTTATATCCGAGTGAGCTTTTTCGAACTCGAAGTAATGTAGCCCGTAGGCTTAGTGATTTTGAACTTGAAGTATTGTAGCCCGTAGGCTTAGTAGTCAAGTGAGTGATTTTGAACTCGAAGTAATGTAGCCCGTAGGCTTAGTGATTTTGAACTTGAAGTATTGTAGCCCGTAGGCTTAGTAGTCAAGTGAGTGATTTTGAACTCGAAGTAATGTAGCCCGTAGGCTTATTAGTCGAGTGAATGATTTCGAACTTGATGTAATGTAGCCCGTACGCTTAATAGTCGAGTGAGTGATTTCGAACTCGAAGTAATGTAGCCCGTAGGCTTAGTAGTCGAGTGAGTGATTTAGAACTCGAAGTAATGTAGCCCATAGGCTTAGTAGTCGAGTGAGTGATTTCGAACTCGAAGTAATGTAGCCCGTAGACTTAGTAGTCGAGTGAGTGTTTTCGAACTCGAAGTAATCTAGCCCATAGGTTTAATAGTCGAGTGAGTGATTTCGAACTCGAAGTAATGTAGCCCGTAGACTTAGTAGTCGAGTGAGTGTTTTCGAACTCGAAGTAATCTAGCCCATAGGTTTAATAGTCGAGTGAGTGATTTCGAACTCGAAGTAATGTAGCCCGTAGGCTTAGTAGTCGAGTGAGTGATTTCGAACTCGAAGTAATATGGCCCGTAGGCTTAATAGTCGAGTGAGTGATTTCAAACTCGAAGTAATGTAGCCCGTAGGCTTAATAGTCGAGTGAGTGATAACTCGAAGTAATGTAGCCTGTAGGCTTAGTAGTTGAGTGAGTGATTTCGAACTTGAAGTAATGTGTCTTGTAGGCTTAATAGTAGAGTGAGTGATTTCAAACTCGAAGTAATGTAGTCCGTGGGCTTAATAGATCATCCCCGAGTGAGAATGGTTGCTCGAACTCAAGTTGGTGTAGCCCTTGGGCTTTATAGTTGAGTGAGTATTGCTTGAACTCGTTGATTTATCTTAAGCATGTTTGCAT